TGATTTCATTTTTCCCAGATCCTCTTTTGTTGCCAGTTCAGGGAGTCCAGGTGGTTGAGTATCAGATTGTTCCATCTTGTTTCCCTTTGGGGTTGCTATAGGTGATCCGGAATTCTGTTTTTGAGGCTTGTTTACATGTCTTCTCATTTCCACAGTGGGGGTGGGGGTGCTTCTGGCACCCGGGTGGCTCACCTTCTCTGCCCTAGGAGCATGGAATGGCAGTGGGGGAGCTTCCTTCTGGGTTCTGGGACCGGCTCACCTTCTCTGCCCTAGGAGCATGGAATGGTGGCAGGGGAGCTTCCTTCGGGGTGCCAGGACTGGCTCAGCTTCCCTCTTAGGGAACTGTTTAGCCCAAGAAAAATGATCACTGACAACAGCATCTGGGTCTTCTCCCCAGTACCTATGTAAAAACTACACAAAGACCCAATTACCCTAGAATGAAGCTCCTGGTAAACTTGTCTAACACACACATGACTGCAATCAGTATTTTAGTACTTCTTAAACATGAACAGACACAAAAGATCTGCAGACATTTTAGGAAAGGCTCTAACACAAAAGAGGCCAAGAGAAGCAAAATAAACTAAACTAAGATGAACAGACGTAAGTTAGGGAACAAAAGAAAATGTAAATTATGATGAATATCCTCAGAGACACAGTAGATGATACAGGATCCATGAAACAAAAGCAAGGCATTATGAGAAGAAACATTAAAAAAATAATGAAATTGAGAAGAGAAACTAGAAAATGAGGACTCAGTTTAAGAGACAAAACAATAATGCAAATTTCAGGAAGAGAAAATTAGCATGTGGAAATTATTTAAAAAATGCAATAAAAGTTCTCAAAACAAAAAAAATCTAAAGAATTTCAGATTAAAATGACATCATAATTCAGAAAATGTATGTAAAATAATTCACATTAAGGTACAATGTCTTCATATTTCAGCCACTAGAATTAAGGGGAGGATTCACAAAACTCCCAGAATAGAAAATTCTATATTTGAGCACAGGAGTTTGAAAAACAGGCAGAATTTCAAGCCAAAAGAACAAGGGTTTCAAAGAAAATATTCTATTTTAGCAATTTATGCCACTATAGGTATCTGACATGTATGAAAATAGAACAATGCAATTCTCAGAGATGAAAAGCCTCTCTCAGGAAAATACTGAGGAATATATTTCAACTAACAAGGGAAGTAATTCAAAATAAAAAATTTACAGGATTTGGAAAGCAAGGAAACTAACATAGGAGAAGTGGAATAGGTTATAACGAAGGGAGATCTCAAAGTGATAGTCATATAACAAGCCTAATAAGTGACACAAACAAATTAGCACAAGAGAAAAGAGGGTCATAGTGAAAGACAGAGTGATGGAAAATTAAAACTGATAAATAATATGCTTGGAAACAGTAAAACAAAAGTATATAGTCCTGACAAAGACCATGAGGACTAATGACTTTGAGTATATAGAAAAATAAGTTAAAAAGCAAATAAAACTGAGGGATTCAAACTTTAGAGGAAACCAAAAAGTTACACAAGAAAAGAGAAAGCAAGAAAAGTATACTATGTGGCAAGAGAATTAACAAATCCTTTCCTCCTCCACAGGAGTGTTTCAGAGAGCTCTTCTCCCTTGAACTCCCACACCATCTCCCACCATATTTTCCCATCGCTCCATATTTATGTGATTATTTGGTGACCCAGTGCATTTTAGAATTCACCTGTTGCAGAGATTTGTTCCCCTGGCTCACCATGTTCATGACCACAGACCAGCTGACACACTCAGTGTTAGATGCTCATTCCAGCACCCCAAACCCCAGCTCTCTTCTGTAAAGTACACCCAGGGCCTTGAATCCTTCCTTCCTCTACCTCACCAAAGCTCTTCATTTCTCCTTGAGCATTTACCCCAGTTGACCTGGTGTTGCCTACTACCATATCTTTTCTCTGAGACGCTTTCCCAAACAGTAACAGGAACACTTGTCCCATCCTTTCATTCTGGGCCACATTGTCCCAGTATCACAGGACCAAAGCTGTGACTCTTCCCAGATGGAATGCCTGAGTACACTAGGCCCTTTGTGATATGGGTTTGTTAGCCAGTCCCTCACATTCTCAGCACCTGTTGGCTTTTCAGGCCACCCATCTTCTCTCAGAAGCTCATTCCTATACTGTGCTGAGCTTTCTTCACTCTAACACACTGCTCCTCCTCATTCCCAAACCTTTTTTCTATACTTTAGGAAAACTATTTTTCATTCTGTACAAATTTCTCAGTATCTTCTGCCCCAAACTCCTACCTCCACCTCTGAAGTGCTCATCTCTATGTATATCAGTAGCCCAGTATTTACTATTTTACATAAAGATACCTACTCCTGCTTCTGTTGCACCCACTAGACTTTAAAACCTGAATGAAGAATTGGAGTCTTATTAAAAATCTGAAATAAAGGAGCTCCTCCGTAAATGTTTCCTACATTGAACTGGGATTTCATGATTAAATTTCTATAATTACAGACTACAAAGATTTCTGTCTTCCCATGTTCTGTCTCTACTATAAATTTCCTTGTACTGTCATGTCCCTCTCTGCTCCTTTCAGTTATTCATTCCATCAGTACAAATATGTTTTTTTGTGGTCAGAGAAGGGAAATAAAAGAAAGTTTGATACCCCAACACTAAAGGAGGAGACAGGTTGCTAAGACACAGAGTGAATTAGAGTGGGTAAGAGGGCAGATAATTTCACCAGGAAGCAGGATGTAAGTTAGAAAAACTTTCATAGCTGCAAATAAAAAGAGAATGAGAATGTAAAAACAAAGGAGAAGTAATAGAGAATGTTGAAAAGGGTAGAGTTAAATAGGACCATTAAGGTATGAAACAGAAAAAATGAGTGAGGAGAAAAGTAGGAAGGAGAAAAAGACTGATCTTTCTGTATGTCTGTGTGTGATACATGTACAGAAAGAGGGGAGGATTCTATAGGCAGCCAGACTCAGAAGGACCCAATTATACCAGCATGCACCATCAAACTTCTGTCTCCTTTACTCAATACTAGGCAGGCTACCTTGACACATTTTGGTACAGTCTTGCCATGGTCCGTAGGGGTCCCACGTGAACAGGTCAGTCCTCCCCTCCACAGGCACGTTGAAGGAGTAGCGCACATCAGGGTTGTATAAATTACCCACACATAACACCTCAATAAAAATACAAAGGAACATACAATTAATTTATAAAAGTTACATTTCTAAGACAAGACTTTTACATTTAATCATAACAGTTCACTAATATGTTTAAAGTTAAATTTTATTAATGTCTACTGAAATTTTACCTGCAAAACAAGCTCTTCTTCCAGTCGATCAGTACTATTAATTCTTTCCACTGAGTTATTTGATCCACTGTATTCAAAAATAGCTCCCTGTATGTTGATGTCTTTTTTTGACATACTCACAACAAAATTTCCATTCAAAAGAAAATTCCCCTGAGCATCAGATAATGCTATAAAAGAATAAAATATTGCTCATGAAACAAAGTCAGCCAATAGTATAGAAAATCTGAATGTATCTTCTTAAACTGAAATCACTTTTTGAATTTAAAGAATATAAATATAAATTAATATTAAGGAAATAAACTGTCTTTTACTGTTCTGTGGTATCTAATTTATAAATATGGAAAGATCAGCACATCAGTCAAAGGTATTAAAATAAATTTAGCCTGTATTTTTCTATTTGAGAAAATCACCTTCAATGGGACCTGCAGAAGTAGCAAGGCAGAAAGAAATCACAGCCCCAGCACACAGATCATCTAGGTCAACCCTGATCACCAGTGGAGGAAAAAACTGCTGTACAACATTTTGCTTAGGCTTATCTTCGAACAAAATGAATGAAGCTTTACACTTACAGGGTCAGTATTGTAAAAGGCCATTTAATGACTACACCATTCTCTAAATAAATGTCTGAATCTTTTTAGAAAGAGGCACTGTACCACTGTTGATATATGTGAGTAATACTCCTAACTTGCTCTCTGTTCAAGCCCTTCTTCTCTTTCCCACTTACAGGTATTAATTAAGTCTGTCAAATATGTATGTGTATATATTTATTTATATACTATATGTATAACATATAAAACAATATAGTATACATTCATAATTTATTTTTTAGATATAAAATGTTATGGTGTCTACAGTATTAAAAAGACAAACTAACTTGGTGTTAAAAGTAATGTTTTTAAGTTCAAGTTCTTCAATTAATTGCTATATAAACTTAGACAAGCCTCTTGGTCACTTTCCTAAACTGCAAAATAAAGCTAATAAAAATTTCTACCTTTAAAGGCTTTCAATTAGATTTAAATTTGGAAAATGTTTGTAAAAGTGTGTAAATTGTAAAACACTGTGCTATTTATTTTAATTCTAAGAGAATGTACAATATTTAAATTTTATAATAATAAAGCTACATTAATAAAGTATTTTATGCTTGCTTTACTTGTGTTATACTTCTGGGTGGACCAATGACCTTTTTGGGAAACATTTATTTGGCATTCCAGGAAATCTCACCCCAAAACATATAAGTTACTTATGGCTAAACTTCATAAATAAATATAATACTCCTCTGAAAAAGCAATCCCAATGGGATTATTGCAAAGTAAATTAGATGCTTCTTTGTATATATGAACTAATTTAACCGCCTTAATATATTATGCCAAATTCAATGGAGGACAAATGAAGTTCTGTATTTACCCCATGAAACAGAAATTCCTCTATCCAAGAATCAGTACTTTTCTTTTTTATTTTTTCTTAGAACATGTTTGCAATACATAATGTTTACATTCCTCCTGGGGGACTGTTACATGTGCATAGTACAGTACATCTTCATTTCTTTTTTCATCTCCTCTCCCTTCCCTTCCTCCTCCCTCCATCTATCTCTTGATCCCCTTACTTTATCAAACACAGGTAGGCCTAGATAAGGGACTATTGGTTACATTAATTCTAAGGGAAATGAAAACTTACCAACTGAGAAAAAAATCTATAGATTTTACTTACAAAAGTTCATAAATATAAAGGTTTTTTACATGCCTCTAGTAGTGTCTTATGTGTTTTCCTCACTTCAAATTAGACTTTGATAGTTCTCTTATATTTGTAGGTTCTCACAAAATATAACACTTTACTGATGAACATTTCTAACTTTTAAACTTGGGCAGAATCTTAGGACGATACACATGTTTATGCTTGGAACTTAAGACAGGCCCACTGAATTATTTAGTGACAATATGGAAAAATATATGTAAGTCTATGTACATAGTATTCTTAGCCAAAGAAAAAGAATTTCAACTAAATATAAAAGTGCCATAAATCAAAATACCTATATTAGATTTTTTTGGAAATTTTTTGTACTTATTGAGGTAAAAAGGACAAAACATAAAATTAACTTTTTTTGGCGGTACTGGGGATTTGAACACAGAACCTTTGCACTGAGCTATATCCCAGTCCTTTTTTAATTTGAGATAGGGTCTCACTAAGTCACTAGGTTACCTAGGCTGGGCTCGAACTTGTTCTCCTCCTGCCCCTCTGTCTCTCAGGTCATTGAGGCAATCATATTGACAATTTGTTTCCCAGATTGTTGAGAGATTACAGGCATGTACCACCATGCCCGGATCAGAATTAACCATTTTATGTAAACAAATCAATGGTATTAGTATATTCACAATGTTTGTGTAATCAGTAGCTTAATCTAATTTCTTCTTTATCACCCCAAAGAGAAACCCAGCATCCACTGAGCAGCTGTTCCTCTTACATTTGACTTTTTAAGGCCAAAGATAATGTTGAGGAAAGGGGTTTATGGCAGGATCAACACTCCCAGCTAGTTATCTGGGCCAATATGCCATTTTTATATCTTATTAATGTGAAACAGGTAATTTCTCAATACCAGCTCTATATAACCACCTGTGTCAGTTTGGTGAACCACAGGTAAGTCACCACGAAGATATTTCTCAGACAACTATACTCTTAAGTGAAATAAATAGGACACACATGTGTCAACACAGAATTGTTTCTACGGTGTGAGAAGCTGAAAGCATAAGCGAGGACCAAAATGTATAATTGATATTGGGAAATAAGAAGAAAAGGTTCAAAGGGGAAGGAGAACTGGGCAGGGGGGATGAGAAAAGAAGGGAAAAATGAAAACAAAGCTTTTGTAAATAGAGGGGGGTGAAGGGGTAGAAGAGAGGGAAAGAAAATGGGAAAAAACAAGAACCAAGATATATCAGATGGTGCAGGTACCAATTCCTAATGATGAAGATGATCATCATGTATCCCTAAAGTGTACCAATAAACTTAATGAATAAAAAAATTAAAAGTAAAATGAAAAAGATATTTCTCAGACAGGAAGGAAAGATTGGTAAAATATCCTTTTCATGTTTGTGAAATTCTTTAAACCTGAAAGTTAATTTCTCATAGCTTAAGCCTGGACTCTAGGACTAGCTAAGTACAATATCCTCTGACTACCTTCACTTACATCTGTAAATATGAGACCATAGTTCTTTTCTTTCTTTAATATGAGAGCTTTTTCAAAACTGTATTTTAATACTTTCATTACATGGAAATAGACAACTATTCAAACCACCTAATCCCAAATAATTCTGTAATTAGAATTAAATAAGAATTTTATTCTAAATACACATGCAACTTTAACTAAACATAACTTTTCAATATACAAAATACTCTTATAGGAAAACACTGACAATTTTTTCAGAATTTCATTCCACATTTCTTTTAAAGGATATTTTTGTATAGTTTAAGAAGAACATACTGTGTGACCTAAGCTGGTAGGAACTGAAACTGCCTGCTCCAGGGACTCACGTTATCTTCCAAGAATTTACATTGACCATAGATCTCCATGAAATTGCACACAAACAACATTGGCTGCTGTTTACTGAAAATGTTTACCAAGGTAATTGTCATCTTCTGGTTTTCCAGAATAGCTGTGCTGAAGAATTTCAATGTTTGTTGCTCCTGTGGGAATCTTTACAACAACATTGTAACCTGTAATATAATTTTATACATGTTGAATTTCACAAAAAGCAGATGTCCTAAAAGATACTGTTGCTGAATGATTGAAAAATACAAATGGCATAGTCACTCTTCATTTCATTTTACCTTTAAAAATTATACAGTGGTTATTCCTTTTGAATCAATGCTTTAACGAATTGCTGAAGATTGAGGAAAAGGTGGTTGTGGTTCAGGAACATAAAGAGTTTAAGATTCTTAAAATACAACTTTCTTTACTTTTAAAATTCTTAATAGAGTTTAGAAATGAAGCTAAGCTTTTAACTATTCAGATGTTTAGTGGATGTATTCATTTTTAAGTTAGACAATACTTTTATATTTAATACACTCTACTGGAAAAGAATTTCAAATGCTGTCCACAAATCCAGGAGATAGCAATACAACTAGGCAATGTTATGTTATATTCACAGAGACTCAGTGAGTAGCAAATTTCATTACTGGAAAATAATGATCATTTTTTTAAAAAGCCAAATTTTCCATAAGTTTTTAGTTTGTGGTATAACAAACTGCAACCCCTATATCTATTCCCAATATTATATTCTATTAAAATTCTATTAATAAACTAAGTATGAGAAAAATAAAAAACTTACTAAAGTGAAATGAATATCATATCTGTGTTGAGACCTAACTCAGCAATACTAGCACTGATTAAAAGAGGAAATACTTTATTAAATCTGTATAAAACAAGAAAAAAAAATCTTCTTGATAAAACACTCATTACACAGTGTGAAAATATTCTTAGGTTAAGTGTACAATTAATTGTCCTCTAATGATATTATTTTAGTATTTCTTTGTTCTTTTTTCTTAATATTTCTCCATATTTAATAATGAGGAAAAGAAGTTATAATTTTTCTCATTTACTTAATTTGATGAATATGTTTAATAAAACTTAAGTATAAATTTAAGAGAACTTCGATTTATAATCCTGATGTCAGATTACCTTGGATATTTTTAGAGCAACCTTATTTATATCTTGTTAAGGCATCATATTTTAAATATAAGGTGATACATAGTGTGATGATTCTATATGCATTGTATGCATATTGCTTGTAGATTATGAATCTCCAAGAAAAATTTCAATTCACCTTTTTTCGCTATAAAATATTCTGTTCCACTATTTAAAGCCTTTGCTATTTCACTTTTTCAAGAAGGCAAGCATAAGGCATTATAAAAGTAACAAGATGAAGGTGACCAGCAGGGGGCAGAAGTGTGATAAAGCTTTCAAATCCTGTGGATTACTTTTTCATTTACAAACTTGAGCCACGACATGATTTTTTCAAAGTTAAACATTTAATCTTAATTTCAAACATATGTTTTTATTCTTGAAAAACGTACTTTTCATCAAATATAGACTACGACAAGTGTGTGTCATTGGTTATACAAGGAGATTAAATGTGTGGGGCTCCCAGAAAATGATGAATAATAACAACTAGGAAGACTAGGTCAAAGAATGTGGCAACTAAAGTAATTAATATTAATAAGTATTGCCAGCATATTAAGAGTATTAAATGTAGCATACTTTCCTTATAGATAAAAATATTCATTTTGAGTTTTAAGTTATACCTCTTTATTAAATAGTAACATGTTCACACATATAGGAACACAATTTAATGCTGAAAAATAAAGCTGTAAAAATGCATTTTTAATTTTCACGGAAAGTTTTAAACATGTTTTTACATATTTATGTATTACACTTAAATAGAAAAATGTTTGCTCAAAAATTTTAGAATGGAACATATCTGAGGTATTTTCATAATAATTTTGAATAAAATTGAAATCATGACCAAATAGCAACTATGTTCGTGATCCAAATACTTTTTGAGAAAGCAAATGTGATAATTAGGAACCAACATTTAAGTTAATGCTTTCATCTTTCCCAATCAATTAATATTTTCAAGATAGCATTAATAAGAAATATAACAGACTAGGTCGCACCAAAAAAAGAAGTAGTTCAAATAACTGAACCAAGTTTCCTGGGGAAAAAAACCATAAAAATACACACTTTAGATTACAGGAACATCAGTAAAAGCACTTCATTAGTTGGTGGACTGTTTATATATCACTGGATTTACTCTTTTAGTCTCATAAATGCATCTAATATATCTTTAAGAATTATATTTGTCTTCAGCAAATGAATTCATTAATTTAAAGGCACTCCGTATCGGTCAGATTTCCCATTGCTGGCATAATAATACCCAACACTCGCAACTTAAGGGAGAAGAGGTTTAGTTTGGCTCATAACTTCAGTGGCTTCATTCTGTGCTCAGCCAGCTTCCTGGCAGGAACATCATGGAGCAAAGGCATAGGAAGGAGCAAAGTTGCTCAAATCATCATGGCCAGGAAGCAGAGCAGGGGAATAGTGCCAGAGAAAAGGGCCAGGAAGCAGATACAGCCCCCAAAATCACGCCTCTCTAACCATGACAGACACTCCCCTAGATGGCTCCCCAAACCGTCAAGTTCACCATCCCGCTTAACTGTAATATCTGACGAAATATTTAATATTTTATATTTAGGAAATTTTTCCTTACAATCATTTCAGATAGAGGTTATAGAGTACACAAAACAGTGCCAAGCCATTACTACTATACTACCATTATACACTCCGGGATTATATCAAATAAAAGGGAAAACTAGAAACAAATTCACAATGTACCGTAATGGGCACTGTTGAAGACGCCAGCCATGGTCCTGCAGGAGGAGTTATTTCCACCACACACTCCACATTTGTCCCTCTTGGCCTTGGAGTTTAACACATGATCACAGCCAGCTTGCTTCAAAATGCAATAGTTACAATTTATATTATAAAATAATTAATTATAAACACAGTGCTTTTAAGTTTACAAAATTCTCTTTCCGGGACTGGGGATTTAGCTCAGTGGTTCTGCCACCTGCCTCTCAAGTGGAAGGTCCCAAGTTTGATCCCCGGTACCAATGAAGAAAAAGGAAAACATTCTCTTTCCAAAGATTCCTTCCATTAACAGGAAATTTAAAACACCAGAATATTTTCAGAGTATTTACTACTCTTGAGGTACATCAGTATTTTCAAAACTCTGTTCACATGATCTAAAAGAACACTGTTTTTCAAAGGATTATCCACATACCTCCTGCATCAAAATCATAGGCAGTGGCATTTAAAAAAACAGATTCGCAGGTTTTCTGAATTAATATCCTGGGAGGTAAAACCTAGGGATCCACATTGCATCCCTGACACAGTGATTTCTCTACCCATCTGAAACCACTCTTTAAAGAAAGATAATTTAAAGAGACAAGAGCATGATAAAATAGATAATACAGTAGGTATAACATAAAAAGATATTATTGCACTTTTTAAAAACTCATCAACTGAGAATAAAGCCAGTTTTAAATAAATATTTGAAAGAATTTATTCAAAACTAATACTCAGCATACTAATGTGTTTATTAAAAGAAGGCATAAATACATATAAAAATAAATGGTTTGTCACTGGGATTCAGAGAAAAAGTGCAGCTCCTCTTCATATAGAAATAATCTTCTGTGTACGATGCGGTAACTCATTTCTTTGACTAGTCCTCTACGTTAAGTGATGAGAAGAGAAAATTTCATAAGCCTTATGATTTTTTTCAGTAGTAGGAATTGATCCCAAGGCCTTCATACTCAGCTGAACCCCTGATGCCTGATCCCCCTTTTTTTATGTTTCTTAAAATTAATTTTATTCATACATTTTAGGTATACAATATAATGACATTCATCATTGGAAATTTGCACCTTTACATAATCTCTTGTTCTTATTTTTTCCGCATTCCCCTGCCCTGCCTTAAACCCCTCCATCCCTCCCTGTTTACAAAGATTTTGTTTCCATTTATTCATTTTCTCATATTAATTCCATTCCCTTCTTTCCTGCCCCCTAGCCCTCCCACTTCCTTCCCCTTTGCCCCTTTTCTTCCTATTTCACATTATCTATTATGCCTTTTAGTACTTATTTACACTTTCAGTTTCTCACACTAGAGAAAGTGTTCGGTATTTACACATGTGTGTCCTATTTATTTCACTTAAGAGTATCGCCTCAATGTGCATCCACTTAGCTATAAATGTCCCTAACTTCTCATTTTTTCTGGCTGAGTAGTACTCCATTTTATTAAAACACCCCACATTTTCTTTATTCAGTCACCAGTTGCTGGGCAAATGGGCTGCTTCAAGTTTCAGCTATTACAAACTGTGCTCCTTTGAACATAGGTGCACACATAACACTATGGTATGATTCATTTAATTCTCTGGGGAAGATACTTTGAGGTATCTCCATATTGATTTCCACAGTGATTGCACCAGTCTACACTCCCACCAGCAGTGGAGCAGGGTTCCTCTTTCCCCACAGCCCTGCCAG